TTTCTGGTGGGGAAAATCAATCAATGGTGTTACAGGTCTGAATGCTGTCTGATAGGTTGCACGTCGAATCTCTTAGGCAGTATCATCACCCGTGATGACCGATCTTACTTTGTTAATAGCACTGTTTTACTTTTACAGGTTAGTAATGGGCCACATTCAAGGTCATGAGCACAGGTAAGAAAATTATATGAGTTTATTAAACATATAACAAATGTAAATAAATTGCACCACCGATCGTGACTTCACCGTGGAATATCGAAGAAGTGGAAGTTAAAGAACTTGCTCAGTGATGAATGTTCAAACCTGACCTCGGGAGGCTCAAAACAAGGCGCTCATTTTTCTTGAGAGATTATGCCACTAAATTGCAGTTGTTAATTGATTAATAACGACAGCTGAGAAAAGCTGGACCATTTGTTTAAGGCTAAGAAAACTGCGGCCTCCCATCCGAAACGTGTCGATCTCTATCCATCTGGCCAATATGACCGCTACTTTGTCCTCAGTGTTGCGGTTTTGCTGGCAAGTTGCCAGGAATGGGGGGTCTTGCCAGTAATATAGCCATGAATGCATGATTGCCAGGAATATCAGTAGTTTTCATTTATTCTTAATTTTTATATCCATGATAATCGTCATATTTTGTTCATTATACTATTTGCCAGTAGGACGGTATCGTATATAGTAACATGGAATATTGAGCCGAACTGGGGACGGAACACGTTGGAAGTCTACCCTCTCTCTTTCTTACGGATTCTGTGATCTGTACATTTGTCTGTTTTTCTTCTTTCGCTTCTCTGTTGGCGTCTCATGCTTTGTGCTCTGTGGTCGTCCGCCTGTTTCTCTACTACCTGTACATATTCAATCCCGTTTTTACATTTACACGGTTTTAGAAATAGCGGAGAAAGATAATAGTATGATCCAGGTTAGAGTAAGGTTCATTGTTTCCGTACATTTAATTGCTCATACAGTGATTTTCATGTCCCCCTCCTCTTTGATTTTTTAAAAAAATTAAAAGTTGAGGTAATGAATGAAAATTGATGCTTAGATACCATATTCTAGAGTAAAATTGACAGATGAAAATGTCAAGATGGCCGCTAGGCGCCATATTGGAAAAAAATATATGAAAACGGGGGTCTTGTGGCACATCATTTTAAAGCTCCTGATGAGTACTTTATAACCCTAGAATATAAAGTGAATACCTTTACCTTGTACTAAATGGTGGTACATTTAATAATCTTTTGAATGAAGCTTGTGACTAAATTTCGAACCCAGTTTACATTATTGGACATTAAACCACCAACACGCAGACGTAGAGTGAGGACTGAAGAAAATATTGCGGCTGTATCCGCCAGTGTTAGTGATGACCGTGAAATGTCGATTCGCCGCCGTTCGGAGCAATTGGGCCTCTGTTACTCCACTACGTGCAAAATTTTGCGACAGGATTTGGGTGTAAAACCTTATAAGATACAGCTGGTGCAAGAATTGAAGCCACGCGACCTCCCACAACGTTTCCAATTTGGTGAATGGGCGCTGGCAAAGTTGGAGGAAGATCCACATTTTTATCGAAAAATTGTGTTCAGCGACGAAGCTCATTTCTGGTTGAATGGGTACGTTTACAAGCAAAATTGCCGCATCTGGAGTGAAGACCAGCCAGAAGCATTGCAAGAGCTACCAATGCATCCCGAAAAAATCACTGTTTGGTGGCTACCGTGCGATAATAACAAACTTTTTTTTGCCCAAAATGGAAGAGCTGGACTTGGCTGATATGTGGTTTCAACAAGACGGTGCCACATGCCACACCGCACACGAAACAATGGCCCTATTCAGAGGCGAGTTCGGTGAACAGTTTATCTCACGTTTGGGGCCCGTCAATTGGCCGCCTAGATCCTGCGATTTAACGCCGTTGGACTATTTCTTGTGGGGCCATGTTAAGGCTAATGGCTACAGGGATAAACCAGCAAGGATTGACGCACTGGATGCCAATATTGAAGCATTTATTTGTGAGCTACCGGCTGATATGTTGGAGAGAGTGTGCCAAAATTGCACCTTGCGCATGGGATCTAAAGCGGAGCCGCGGCCAACATTTACATGAAATAATCTTCAAACATTAAATTATATCGACCGTTCTATCGACTCAAATAAAGATTTAATCGGTTTGTCAAATTTTTTGTGTTTTTTTTGAAAATTAAATCCTATACCTCTTAAAAAATTACCCGTTACATATAGGTCTTTTCACAGTTTTTGGAAATCTACAGCAGTTAATCTCCTAACGTTGGTTAAGAGGATAGATAAAAATATTACTAATTTTTATTTCAAATTTTAATTTGCACAAACCGATGATAGAACCATAAATCGCAGAACAACCTTCAGTTGTCATTTGTTATAGATAGAATAATCTGTCATGGCCAATACCATAATAGCTATAATCCAGGCTTACCCGGCTTGCCAGTAATCCGGCCTGTAATACGGCCTGTAATTTGGCCTCAGCATTTTGGCAACACTGTTTGCCCTGGTTGAGAGACTATGGAATAATCTACATGAGGAGGCTTTTTCCAGTTCCGCCCGCCTTTAGGCGTCTGCGTATGCCACTGTTTCGGTGTAAAGAACAAAAGAATGTGCAGTACCCACGGCCATCTTGTTTTGCAAAAAAATGTCAGTAACGAGAACTAGTGTAAATCACGGTACAAAAAGGCTTCCTATGTGGCCTTTGACCCTGTGACCATTGTATTGGTATCGGATTGTCGGTTTCTTTTTAATTCATAACCATTTCAAAGGTTATTTTACACAATAATCTAATTTCACTGAACTAAAAGTTACTTCTGCATGGTTGCAACTGGAACCTCCCCTCATACCGAAAACACTTTGCGGCGGTGATGTATGGGGACGCCGGCGGTTTCAACGGCCTTAGCCCTGGCTATTTTATACCGTAATATATTCAATATTTCCTCTCTCCAGAATAGAGCGCATCCATCTATCGACCTCGACTCTTTGATAAGGCACGCTCGCTGGAGGTGATTGCTGCGGCTATGAATAGAGGAATAACAAACTTTTCTAGCGGTGTTGCAGGTGTCGAAGCGTATGAAATTTTTCATGGAAAATTCGTCCTAGTCGAACATTTATCAAAGTATCCGTGTGACTGTAATGACATTATATTACATCGAGTGTAATGAGGATGATGCAGATGAGTTTGCATATAACCTCTTCAGTTTGTACGAGGCCTTTGTACGACTTACCCTCCAGTACTGATCACATGACCCGGTGACGTCATTCATGCTCGATTCTATTAACAAGAGGGTTTTTTTCTAACAGACAGTCACGGGACAATTTTTGAACCGACGGGTCTTGGGTGAGTTCGCTCCCTCCATCGCTATGTCAAAGAGCCTTGCTCCTCGGTGCGCTCCTCCGTTATGCTGCGGTACGATGAGCCTGTCAAGGAGACCCGCCTGTCTTCGCTCCTTTGTCCATAGGGTGTCGAGATTGTAGAACAATCGGCATGAGGAGGCTTTTGGTTTGGAATTGAAAAGTGTCTTCAAGCTATAGCAGCCGCGATGCCCCAGTATTTTAGGCTCGTTGTCTGCTTTGACATAAATAAGTAACTGCGGTTTAAAGGACGAGGTGTAGACAAGCCCGTCTGAATAAATGATAATACCTGCAACACATCAGGCGCCGTACGACATGGCAAATCTACCAAAACCAGCCTACGAAGAAACTGAGATCCAGGCGTGACAACTAGGTCACGTTTGGCCATTTTTGCTTAGTTAACGACACATACACTGACTTTATATTATTTAATCGGCTAGTATTTATAAGCAAAGCGAAACCAAAGGTGTTTGACGTCTGAATGGCCTTCAAGGCCACAGTCAGCGTCATTTCGGAACATAAAAATTTTAAGATTCTTCACAAAATTTTCAAGTCGACCTTTAATTGACCTTAAAGGCCATTCCCGAACGTTTCCATTTAAAATTTCAAGCTGACCTCTGTCTTTCAAAATCGTGGACAAGGTCATGGTCAAGGTCGCCGTTATGATGTTCTCGCAATACCCTGAAGCTGATGTCATGAACATTTTCTGTTTGAGCAGGATATAGGGGGGGGGGGTGTCAACCTTCTGAATACCCTGTATATGTTTATTTATTGACATACTCTCCTGTTTAACGTTGGTTTCCACTCGCCCTATCAAATTAGCGGAGAATAAGAACATAAGGCCCGCATCGTCAGTCGTCCCTACAATTGTAGGGCGCGTTTATAGCCTCCTTGATTGTCATACTCCTTTCTCTCCTTCAAAAATTTCTAGATTACACTTGTCCCGGCTCAGCGTCAGCGCTCTCCTATTGTGAAGATATGTTTTCTTTTTAAATTGTAGGAAATTTCAGGCTGATAAGACATGATATAACTCAAAAGCAAGCACAATTTGATGCAAATAGATGTTTGTGACATAACCTCAGAATAAAGCGCTGACACGGAGAACTATAAAACTATGACAATCAAGGAGGCCATAAACGTGCCCTACAATTGTAGGGATGACTGACGATACGGGCCTAAGTCTCACCGTCGTTCATCATCTGCATCTCTGAGGACAAAATTGGTCTGTGATGGAACATTTGATGATAAGCAAGTCCTAGGCACATGTTATTTCGCCAAAAATGAGATAAAAGCCAATCAAACAGGTCAATACATTTAGTCTGTAGACATTATTTCCCTGCGCTACCGGTAGTTCATCCGGAAACGTCGCCCTTCCTCGGTCAGACGTTGCAGCACTTTCAGAGTATAGGAAACATTATGCTGTGACTCAGCAGGAATGCGTTTAAGGGCTAATGTACAGAGAAATCTATGACGTGTGAAATATGTCAGATATGTGCGCACAACACCACCCCCAAACTCTAAATTTTTTACCAAAAATGATAAAAATGTATGCGATTACAATACTTCTGCGCCAGTAGGCGTGAAAATGAAACTGTTTAAACTACAATCACATGCAAAACTCATCTCTTCGATTCTTCAGACTATCTTCACACTGCCATTCCCTCTTCGAGTTGCCGAAACATTGATGCTAATAAGCTGTAGAGTCTCACGTCCGACTGCTGACATCAAATACTCACCTTCAGTGGTGCTTTTAACAAGAAGGCGCTCTTAAAAGGCGACTGATGAAGCCCGCTTCTCCGCTGTTTAGATAAGCCTTAATAAAACGAATCAAGATGGCGCGCCGTACGCTGTGTGGGGAACGTGACTTGTTTGTCGAATCGGATGATTGTGTTCCCATTTCCATCCACCTTTGATTACGAATGTTTACCTCTCGACCGGAAAAAGACGATTTAGGGATATTTGGATCCGGTTCGGATTCATGCATGGAATGTTTCGACATGCGGATTATATTCCATGTATATATGCTTTTTTAACTGGCAGAATGTTTTTATATATTTTTTATTTTTCATTGTATTGTATAGTAGCTATCTTTTAGCGGCATAGTGTATTTTATAATCATAGACTGTTCTTTTCCAACATATCTGCTGACCAGTAGTTCTTGTATTAATAGTATAGTCAAATTCTCCGATAATGTTTTGTAGACGTAATCATTCTTTTGGTTAATGATAAAAATGTCCGGCTATCTTTGTCAGTCAATATCTCTCTCTCTGATAATTTAATCTCTTAAAGTTTTACAATTGTTTCATCAGTAGATGTTACCCCTCATAGCCTTCAATGCCGAGGGTGATGGTTTTAAGGCGGCACCGACGCAGTGAGTTTCAAACCATTTACAGGGGTTCAGCTGCTTGGAAACTGACACTGCATTTTTCAATATTTTTGAATGAAATTCATACAGTATGTTGAGAAGATAATTGCCCAGGGTGCTATGGGAGCACTTTTTGAAATTTTGTTTTTGCACAAGTTTTATGATGGGTTGAAGTGCGAACTTTTTCTGTTCAACTTAAAAAGAATCTAGTGAAAAAAATGAAAAAGTGGCTCTACAGCACCCTTTGGGGTTTTGTTTTCAGCACACTATGAAAAATTCACTCAAAAATATCAAAAAATAAAGCGTCAATTTCGAAGCGCGCAAACCTCTACAAATCGTATTTTGAACGAATTTTGTCTACTGTTTCGCGCTGCCAACCCAAGCGTTGCGGCGCAATGTACGGACTAAGAAAGGGCGTATTCAAATAATTTGGTGGCCCTATTTCATACAATATGGCATAGATAAGTCGTTCTGCAAATAGGTACTCATAATCGCGATCGCAGATACTCTTCGATTTTAAAGCCGTTTTACTTCGCGCGCCAGTGGCGAGGAAGTATTGTAATCGTGAAACATTTCTAAAATGAGATGTTATGTTTTTTTAAGTCATATGACATCTACATCACGAAAAACTATATCACTCATCATCAACTTGGAAACTACCGCTCGGATTTTTATGAAATGTCCACACGGGGTTACTGGTATGCCAAAGCTTCGTACTTTTAGTCCAATGGCAAGGGTGCTATAGGCAAAAAAGAAAAGGTAACAATTGCTGAAACTCCGTTTTTGACGTTACAGGTGTTCCTTATCATTGACATAAAAAATGTACTGCTCAAAAATCAAAAAGTGAGGGTTGGGGGAAGGTGATTCTAAATGTTGCATCTTTGATATCAGTGAAACACGTTCTATTATTAAGAAGCTTCTGGTCCCAGTGATTACAAGTAATTTAAGTAACGAAAATCCGACGAATAATATGCTCACGATTTAAAAAAATCAGTACCTGCTGTATAGGTTTGACATCAAGAGCCAACAGATCTATCTGCAACTGCCGACAGTAGGGAAGAATGAATTCGTATATCACTCCAGTCAAGTATAAGGGAATTTAGCGTGGAACTTTAAACTTATCGATATGTCAAGGAAATATGTTTTTGAGAACGATAATTTGGTAGATTTTATACCTGCATTTTTATTTGAATTTCATCCGTGAAATGTACCAATTTCGCCGTTACCTTCCACCTGTGTTCTATAGTTTATGATGTCTTTCTGGATATAAGCAGGACATAATTGCCTGAGGTGCTATCAGAGCTTTTTAGAAAATTTTGTCTTTGTGCAAGAATTATGGCGGGTTGAAATGCTTACTATTTCTGCTCAACTTCTTGATATTTTAAAAAGATCCTAGTGGATAAAATCGAAAAAGTGGATCGTTAGCCCCCTGTGGACTTTGTTTTTAGCACGCTGGAAGAGTTTCATTTGGAAATAATAAAAAATGAAACGTAAGCTGTGAAGTGCAAATCGGTTTTTGGGCGAAATTCGTCCTGCCAGTCCGAGCGAGGCGACGGTGCGTTCCGACTAAGAAAAAATGTATTCAAATAAATTGATATCTTTAGTAAAATCAATTCAAGAAGTCTAATTCACAGTCGTTTATTCATGTCAATAAACACAATTATGTTTACAAGGATCATGTGGTAGATGGTAACAATTGCACGAGGGTCATAAAAATATCTTATGCCGTCAAAATAAGAGGAAACAGTTAGGTAGTTTTTGCAAAGCAATAAACAGGTAGGCTTATACCTGGATTAAATACATTTCTTGTCTACTGAAATAAGTAGATGGAGGCGATGCTAGCAGAAATGGAATTGTGCAATCAATAAACAAACCACAAGATTGAACTGCGGTGTCCAATGATTTTTGTATTGCCTTATTTATTGCCTTACTAGAAAACTCTGTTGGGTATATGATGGAGTTTACTAGACCTTTACAGCTTGTTGTCTGCCTTCTTCGACAAACTTCACCAAATCAAGACGCTGTCAACCTTATCCTCCGATGAAGGCGCCACAAAGTACAGTCCTGTGATTTGGTGACTTGTTCGATCTGCAAAATCTCGTCGACACTTTTTTTAAGTTACCTTAAAAATTCTTGCTTAGCAACCTCAAAATCAATGTCGTTCATGTCAGGTTTCTGACAGAATTCGCCATAAAACTATTAATTTTCTTGTTAGTTATTTTTATATCAGCTTTATTTGGCCTGATTTTCTTTTCAAGATTCTTGCGTTTGAGTCTTTGCTCCATCTTAGCGATAAGCGAGGTTGGACTAAGCTCAGAACGCAAATGTATTTGGACCACATAGACAGGCCGCTCGGTATTGTGACTCACTACAGCTGCAGCACATCTTCCATGGTATGACCTCTTCTTGCAATAATGTATCCGCTGACACCCCAATGTATTTTGCGATTATAGAGTTGAACTGCCCCACACTATTGTTGATCTCATCATGAATTAAACTAACTGCATTCGTGATTAAAATGGTCGCATATGACCTTTCATTTTCCATTATCAACCTTGATAAAAAAAGACACTCAAGAACAATCACACCAACAAGAGTACAGACTCAATTCAACAACACAATATCGACGAACAGTAACAAGGGGAGAAAAATACTAAATGATCACTTGCCGAGCACCAAAATAGGAAACGATTTACAGGCTAGATACCTAATCGAAATCCGACTCTGTTACTATAAAAATTTACCTTAGTATGCACCCGCAGTCATCGTTTCCTCTTTTAAAGTAGCGCCGACGACCGTCTAGGGTCAGCCCACCCTCATTTCCTTTTCACCCCCCGTTACCTCAGCAGATGGTGCTCGTGATTGTAGGAGCCCCGTTAAGTAGTCACCGTCAATTCATGAATACAATATACGTTTTTAGGAACTCCAGGGTTTAATTCTACTGTTTATTACAGAAATCGTACGTGGCCTTCGAGAAATAATATATTCTCTCAACAAGTGTTTACACCTTGTTATGGAACTACGTATTTGATTGCTCCCTTTCCGTACATCAAAGGGTCATTGCGGATCTCTTACCTTGCGACGTAATCCTGATGTATGCATACAACGATAAGAAAGTCAGATTGCAATCAGCTGCGACCTGACGTTGGGACTCTTGACGATAAACGGGGGTTTGGGAGGCAAGATATCCCCTATTACAAAATTTACTCGACAATGAGTATCACGTAAAGATCATCTAGTTTCCCACGAGTACCTCAGTGACAGCATCTACGCCGCTGACAGTGGTGAAACCCTAAATAGCATCCCTCCGGCAGACGACGTAAATTGCCTTTTATATCTTCCCGCACTATTTCAGGAGGTGGACAATTTTGGACCCTTTTAACGCTTCGAGATAAAGTGATTGTTTCGGGCCAGCTTGGTCTATGCTCCATTAAACATTCACGCCTAGGGTGCTGGGTAAGGGTAAAGGTATCTGTTGCAAATTCCTAATTAGGAGAGTTGATATCAATTACGCCCGTTTGCGATAAAGCCGTTAGTGATAATGCTATAAAATATGAAGGTAACAAACAAACAGGATTTTTGGAATAAGGAAATCGAAGTCCTTTAGATCAGGTGTTGGATATACATATGTAGATTTTGATAACAAGATGAGCGTAATTATACTGAATGTAATATTTGTAATTAGAAGGACTGAAATGAAGCGTGTCAGTTTGAAATTCGGTTCTTTGTCATATTACCTTAAAAATATATTACCAGTTGAAATACAGCAAACTAGTAATTGACTAATTGGTTAAGGCTTTCGCGGCCAGCAGGGGCGGCAGAGCTGCAGAACTGCCAAAACTTTTGCTTAACAGAAAAAAGCAGTAGTAATTTGATCATTATTCATGTTCCATGTTATCACACAAATAGAAACAATACCGGCCTGCCCCCGCAAGACACGGCGTCGAGTCTGTTTTGCAGAATTATGATCGACCAATTGTGTGCTTGTCATTTTCGTCGCGACCGCAGCGTAACATTGTTCATGGGCCACTTGAAAAGGGTCGGTGCACTACTTCAGCACAAGCCGCACGCGCTTGCTTTTGTCTCTCTCTACAAAATCAAACGCGCTATTTAAGCATAAGCACGTGCTGCAATTCATGCGGATCGGTACAGGTCTAATGCGAAGTACGATATCTGATTGGTCGGTCGGTGCTCGGTCCTCGGTTATTAAAACGGCTATCGATAATTTTGAAAAATGAATTTTCGATGTGAGAAATAAAATTGATGACATAATAAATGAAGCCAAAAGTATTTCCACT